CCATGAGAATGGTCAGACACTGGAACAAGCTTCCTAGTGAAGAGCTTGATACCCCATGCCTGTCAGCATTCAAGAAGCATTTGGATAATGACCTCAACAATATGCTTAACTTTTGTTTATCTGTGAAGTGATCAACTAGTTGGGCTAGATGGCCTCTGAAGGTCCCTTCCAACAGACCTGTTCCATTCTGTCATTCAGTTCTGTTCCATTCTATTCTGTCCTATCCCACCCTGCCCTATCCCACCCTATCCCACCCTATCCCACTCTATCTCACCCTATCCTATCCTATCCTATCCTATCCTATCCTATCCTATCCTATCCTATCCTATCCTATCCTATCCTATCCTATCCTATCCTATCCTATCCTATCCTATCCTATCCTATCCTATCCTATCCTACCCTATCCTATCCTATCCTATCCTATCCTATCCTATTCATTTGACTTTTCTTAGAGATAAGCTCCTTCCTAACTACTTCAATTTTGCAAAATTCACAGAAATTTTATATATTTGAATTTCCCACTGAGGTGTTTTAAGTGTTTGAATAATAAGACGTACTGTGTTGCTACAAATATTACTTTCAGATGACTCCCTAAGGTGTGGAAGGTGTGATTCCCCACTCTGACACTAAAATTGACAAAAGTGTATTAATTGGTTGCTGTAATACATTTTTACTGTACATTTTCTTGTATGCAAAGCAAGGCAAGACAAAACAGAACAGCTCTTATATCACTGGTGTATTTTCTTTCTACCATTACAAATGCCATGCAATATACGGTTGATGGTAGGAGAGGGAAAGCAGCATGTTGCTATTTAACTTGCATTCTCGTGCAAAGGCAGCATATAAAAGCCTAACATCATCTGGATATCATAGCAGTCCTTACCATATAATTACTTGAGACCAACAGTACTTGATCAAAGTAAAAGAAAAACCTCTTATTTTATTTATAAGCCATCTGCCACAAACCATTATCATTTACTTAGGCCCTAAGTTGCAGTTTCCATTTTAATAGTTCTGTTAGTGTTTGGGTGGTTTCTATGAAGATTATTCAATAAACATTGTCCAGAAAAAGCTAGATACTTTTAAAGCATAATCCTCTGGAATGTTTATTAAACAATAATAGTGAACCTTCTGACAGTTTTATATCTGAGAATGTTACAAGGTTATTATGCATCCCACTTGTAATTCTGCATTTCTGAAAACTCCTGTACAACATAATGAGTCTTACCAAAAGCAGATGCATCTGAGTTAACAACAGGGACATCAATGAGCAATAGAAAGCCATGCAGTGGGAAGGGTGGAATGGGGGGTAAAGAATGCAGAAAAGAATTTTGTTTCATTATTTCAACAAAAAGTAACTGAAATAAGAATAACTAGTAGCATAAGGATTTGAAAATCCAAACATACAATGTACACACACCTGTAAAAACATATTGACTTTTTAATGAAGAATCTCTTGACAAATTGAAATTAAATAATTTATGGCATGAACAGATTCTCAAAGACTCAAGAACGTGTCTTAAGTGTTCTCAGGATTACTCTTGTGAATGAGTTTGTGTGTGTCACTTATTTTTAGTGAGCCCACCACACAAGTATTCTTTTATCTATCACCTGTTAAATAGATGTTATCCCTGTTATCAAAGCAGAAAGAAACCTTAGTCTAAGGCTTAATAAATTCAAAACAGAACCTTCAAAAATGCAAGGATAAAAAAAAACAAAAAAAAAACAAAAAAAAACCTCAGCATGTGTCAATAATGAACCCAGTAAATATTGGTTTCCTGCAATAAAAATAATAGGTGAAATTTTGAAATCTTGGAGTCAATGTGAATTTCAGCAGGGTCAGTATAACCAGTAAATCTCCTGAGCAAACTAAAAGATGTGGATGAAGGAAATAAGATTCATATAACAGAACCCACTCTTCTACTCTCCTTTGCCTGGGCAAACAGCTCCTGGTACTCCTAAGATGTGCTCACAGAAGCTATTGTGGCAGTCTAATGAATACCAAATATTTACAAAAGCATTTACTGATTAATTCAGAAACAGGACAGTCAGTTTTGTTGTTATAATGGGACAGTGCCTGATTCAACCACAGTGTGCTTTAGGGGTAAGTAACCAGGAGCAATTGCCTAAGACTGGATACCACGGAGAATGTGCCAGACTACAATAACCAGAAGTAGTCTAGAAGAACTAGAAGTATCCAGTATGACTCAGTCTATACCTTTGTTCTTGCTAGGTGAAAATTGCTGTAGGTCCACACAGATACAGTACATTTCAAATGCATTCCTCTCTGTGACATTAGTAAAACAGCAAGCAGAGCATCTTGTTAGAAATATAGAAGTGCTTTTGTCTTTTTAACTCTACATCCTTATCCACATTTCTTTTTACTGGTGCATGAAAATTTCTAATTTCTAATTTTTTCTTTTTTTGTGCAATGAGTTAGCCACTATGCTTTTGAATGGATTTCAAAGATCCATAGCACATATGCATAACATAGCTTACGCAGTGAGTGAGGCAGTTTCAGAAAGCTGAACAAATAATGCACTGCACATTCATGATGCATACATGCTATAAGTGCATCTGGAAATGCACTCATTACAATTTACAACCTCCTAAAGGGAGGTTGTGGTGAAGAGGGATCTGGCCTCTTCTCCCAGGCAGCAAGCAGGACACGGGGCAATGGCTACAAGTTATATCAGAGGAGGTTCAGGTTGGACATAAGGAAGAACTTCTTCTCTCAGAGAGTAGTCAGGCACTGGAATGGCTGCCCAGGGAGGTGGTGGAGTCGTCGTCCCTGGCAGTGTTCAAGAGGCATCTGGATGACGTGCTGCATGATGTGGTTTAGTACTAGTGGTGGCAATGGTGATGAGGAGACAGTTGGACTGGATGATCTTATAGGTCGTTTCCAACCTTGTGATTCTGTGATTCTATGATTCTATGATTCTATGAAAAAAGAAGACATCAGATGCATGGAAATTTGTGGTGTGTTGGTACCGAATCCTGGGCTGTACCAAGACTTGAGGGGCCTGTGTTTCATCAGGAATTTAATGCTGGGGGAGAAATTTGGGTTTCCTGTTCATGCATTCCAGTATTTGAAGTATAATATGGAGAAGAACTACCGTTCTTTTTTTTCTGGGGCTCTTTCACAGGGATTATTGGCAACCAAAAGATAACCTGTAAATAAATTCAATAGCTATAAAACCACCAAGAAACAAAGGATGGCTAAAAATACACCATCTGATGTGAAAGAAATAAAGGCAAAATATTACTGAACATAAAAGCATGGTGTAGAAATATGATAGATTTGTAAAACTCCCTTGACCTAGCTTAATATCTGCAACATCTCAGTTTTAGTTTCCTAACTAAAACTGAGCTAGTTTACTAACTAAAACTGAGCAGTGAGCTTCCTTTGACTGGAAAATTGAGATATTCACTTCAGGCATCTTTTGCAATGCACGGAGTTTTTTTTGGCTGTTAGCTCTCATTTAAATATTATGTTTAAAAAATCCCCACCACTTAAAACATTCTGCAGGTTTCCAGACCAGAGTGGTCACCTGATAATTCAAGCAGAATTTTTTGTGGTCTGAAACTAAAGGATGTCCACTTTTGACCATCATATGCATTAATTGTTTTTCCAAACTGAAGTTTAAGCAAACAAACAAATAAAAAAAAGCAACAACAACAGCAACAAAACCCTCAGCTGTCTCATTCAGAAAACACCTTACAGTGTGACAATGTTCTTTTCTGTAAAAGTGTTTTTAAAACTAGCAAGAGGCAAATGTAAGTTATCAACTTTGTAACGAATCTTTAGTAAGTTCAGCTGATGTGGCTCATTAGAACATTTACAGTAGTTACCCATCAGCACAGGAATGCTAATAGATAAGATGAAAGCAACCCTACCTATTAATCATGCAGTTTATGCCTGACTCCTGTTCCTTTCTTCAGCCTTTAAATCAACTCCATCTGGCTCTCACTATTTAGTTGTGCAGCTTACCTTTCACAAAGAAATATCCTTGCTGTTCCAGAAGGAGGTCCAATGTGGTTAAAATTATTAGGCAAAGAGTGCTTAAGTCTGGAATCAGCTTGCTGTAAAAAACATGATGAGCCACAAAACGAAATCAGGAACTAAATCTTCACTGGGTGTAAATTAGTTAGAATCCAGCTTATTTCAGTGGAATGTATTGCAGCCAGTGCCCCAAAATTTTTTTCTACGTGTTATGTGTGAAACAAGATGGCTATGCATGTAACAATCTCTTCATGTTGTAGGCTATTCTGCTTCACATTCTTCTGTGGCAGGGCAGGGATTTAGGTGGATAGAAGGGAATGACCCTGCCTACGTTAACTAAAACAAAACCAAGAAATGTCACCATTTTATTTTGAGAGTCCTAATTCACATTCTTTTTAACTAAATGTAATAGAATACCAAATTATTCTGAGGCAAAGGAACAAAACAGCTTCCAAGATTTTTTTATCAACAGCTTCCTTCTCTTATTACCGTGAGAGAGAGTGTCTTCACAAATTCTGGGGCTTCCACTGCTGAGTTTGTGGATCTCTTTGAGGAGAATCTGACTCAGTAAAATTTCATGTTATTGAATGACTGTGAGATAGTAACAATCCAGGAAAGGTAGGATCATTTCCAGAAAGGACTCATATGCTATAATATTCAAATTGCACCTGCATTTTCCCTGTGGTGAGCTTTCATCTTTTGGTGGTTAGTTTGGAACTGCCATGAGAACTTTACCAGAAATATTTGCTGCAACTTTGACATAGATAGAGACAAACAGGACTTCATGCCAGCAGGCTGTGGTACTTTGGAAAACATGGGAATCAAAGACTGGAAGGGGCTACCACAATGTCTGGTCCCTGCTCCAGTTGCTCAGCTGAATGCCCTTGAAAACTTTGAAATTTCCCTTTTTGGCAAGAATGGTAGATATGCATATTTATGTCACCCGAAGGCCTAAGCAGGCAAAAACACCACAACTACCACCTTTTCTCTTTTACAGCTTGAGAGCTACATTGTGGAAAACATGAAGTCGGAGATGGTGCAGCTGCAGCAGAATGCTGTGCAGAACCACACCGCCACCATGCTTGAGATAGGGACCAGCCTCCTCAGCCAGACAGCAGAACAGACAAGAAAACTCACGGATGTTGAAACACAGGTATGTTCCCAGAGCAGTTTTCTAAAAGCTTTTAATTGCTGACAATTTTTCCCATCTTTTCTAACACATCATGCAAAACATTTCAACAAATGTTTCCAAGAAACTTACACGTTGGTATGAAAAGCAGTGATTTTTTATGTGACTTTCTTCAGGTTTCATTTTGTTGGTATATGTAGCTCTAGGTGTATAAAGCAGGCTGGAATGGCTAGGAAACTAAATCAGTACTTGACTTCAAATTAGTAGCTCAGTTACCAACTGTGAATGATACAAATGTCAAGCGAGATAATGAGTTTCAGGCTAAATCAGAGCCTTTGATCTTCATTATTACTTGCCTTCATTCTTTTTATAAGGTTACTTTTTGGAAGATGTTTCTAGTTGAAAGGTATTATACATCAGCAGCTTTTACAGTGTGATGATAGAGGGACCAGCATCAGCTTCTTTATAAAACACTGTGTATTGCAAAATTGCATATCACATGAATTTGAAAAGCCGTCTTTATATGATTCCTAGAACTAAAATAACACATCTGATTGAAGTGACACTTATATTATTGCTATAACACAGAGTACAATTTCCTATTGGGCTTATTGCAACATACAAATTTTTGACTTCTGAGTTCTATCGGTTTATGATGCTTATTTATTTTTGATCTTCCTAGCATGTGGTATGTTACACAGGAGTTTATGTGTTGCATTTATTTGGTTTGTTCTAGTAGCATATGCACTTCTTGAGAAATCACAATGTTCTTATTCATATCTAAAATATCATTACCATGTTATTATGTAACTGCATTACAATATACTGAGAAACTGCAGCAATTATGAAAGACAGATGCTCTAAAGAACTCTGGCTAGGAACGACAGGTACAAGCTGTTGCTGCACTGCCTTACACAGGTACCTTTTTTCTACATCTCTATTAGTAGATAAACATCCACTAAAGAATGTGGTGATCTGAAATTACCACAGCTTTGAAAAGATATCACAGTAACTTATGAAAATGTTGGGAATGGTATTTCAATAGAATTTATAAATCAATACAATAAATATAGCTAAATTCAACAGAATATCTAAACAGAAATAGAAGCTGTGAACCTTCTGTAAACTGTGATATCACTTGCTCAGCAGAGAGAGGTGTAGCAGGAGGGTATAAAAGACCTCCTTAGGTGTAGTTGTTGAGAACTTATTTGTTGTTACCTCATCCGACTACATAAGGAGAATATACATATGCATTGCCCCTATCTCATTTCCATTGACAAATCAGTTCAAGGTAGAAGCACCATCAGTGCTTCTTATTCTGTACCTATAGCTGAAGAATTTAAAGGATGCTCAGGATACCAATTGGTATCTACCTTGCAGCAGTACTTGATCTGACTTCCAGCCCAGTGGCACATTTCCTACTTTGGCTCTCACAGAAACATGGGAAATGGTAGACTCTGGCTCCACTAGCAATTAGAAAAGCATGGTGCAGAAGGCTACAGAGCTGAGGCTGCTGTTGGCAATGATGAGACAGACAGAATGTGATGAAGTGCCCACAGCTGGTTGCCAGATCTGCCACAAGCCACTCCCTCTATCTACTGCCTCAGCAGGACAATGGAGAAAGTAAGATGAAAACTTCTTTGGTGAAGATAAGGACAGAAAATTGCTCGCTGCTTATCATCATAGGCAAAAATACTCAACTTGAGGAAGAGTATTGTAATGCCAATTAATAATAGTAGGATAGTGAGAACTAAGTAGGCTATTCCACAGATATATCCTCCTCGCAAATCTATCGGTATCTTCCTGTCTCCTTGATCCTTGCTAACCTTTGTAATACATCTGTTCCAACCGGGTCCATCTAAAACTGTGGTGATGCCTCCTAGAATTTACGAATATATACATCTCAAACATCAAAATATCCGTATAGAGATCAATTACAATTTTTTTCAACCACTGTTCCCTATTAAAAGGCCAATCCAAGTCATTCTGTGAGTATCAAGAACTTCAAACTAAAAGAAGGCACTGCATATATTAAGTTGAGAGCCATTTTTTTTTCTTTTATGATAACATAAATTCCTGTTAGGCATACGTGAAAAGATGTTACTATTTAATCCCATCACGAAACTGAAACTTAGCCTTCCAAGATAGGTCTGATAGGTTCCTTTAGAGAGGAGTCATGTTCAGTTCCAGAAGTGATTATACCTCACAGCTGTTGCATGCACACTTACCTACATATTGATACTTGCTTCTCCAGAATCTATGTAATGAAAAACAGTATATCAGCAAAATCAACCATCATAAATAATTTTATTATTTTCATTCTTGATTTTATTTTCACTTCTGAACTATTATTCATCATTTATTCTCTTCCATCTGAATGAACATCTTCTTTCAGTCTGACGTACCCAGTAAAATTTGTTTTGTTGATACAGACCATGCTAAGGTGAAAGATAATTGCATAAAGCATTAAGATTACAGCCTTCAGCTTTAAAAAAAAAAAAGAAATGTAACAGGGCAAATGGTGATAACATAAGCAGACACCAGATTTCTGCCAACACTACAAAGGAGAGATCTTGGGGGAAAACTAGAGTTGGAATTCCATTTACAAAACAGCAGATGCAATACTTTGGGCTTAAATTCAAGTACATATGTACTCTTCTAGTTTAAGCTTGCTTTATAAGAATGCATATTTGAAGCATATCTTTTGCTCTTTCCATTGAAGTAAAACTTATTGGCAGTCACCTTTCCTTCTTCTCCAAGACTAGTACTATTTATTCTACAGCATGCAGGGTTCCAGAGTGTCAGCTGTTACATATCAGTGCAGACTGATTGAGTTCATTTGCTCTAGCTGAGTTTAAATAAAAGGATTTAGAAATGACAGTTATTTCTAATAAATCATCAAATCAGAAGAGAAAGATTTCAATATGTTTACATTGCTATAGCAACACAATTGGGGTATTATAAACGTTAATGTTTTTAATTTATCTTTAAGGTGCTAAATCAAACATCCAGACTTGAAATTCAGCTACTGGAAAATTCACTATCAACCTACAAGCTGGAAAAACAGCTGCTACAACAGACAAATGAAATCCTGAAAATTCATGAGAAAAACAGGTAAGAAACATTCACTGATGTCTTACACTTTTTCTTTGTTGATCATAACCTGGTTTGTCCATATAGTATTATAAGTAACTGATGAAATAAATACATTAAGTTGAAACCATAAGTAATGTTTATGTAATGGTTGAAAAAGCTAGTGTGAAGTTACACTGTGCTAGCTCCTGTATAATACAGTTGATTTCTACTACTTTTCCTTTGCACTGTGTAAAGTAAGTTCGTATCTCAATTTGTTTCGTGACAACTCAGTCATATGACCACAACTGAAAGACATAAGGATAATTCGGATGAGTATTTTCAAGCAGACACATAAATTATGAGATCATCAGCTATTTTTACATGCATTAAAAATAGAAAATCTTGAGTAGTTCAACTAAAATAAATGGATATGATGAACGCATAGAAGAATCTTTCTCTTTGCAGTAATTATAACATTTCATTCTATCTTGCATCTTGGAGCCATGCTTTTTTATTTAAAAAAAAAAAAAAGTTAATTATAAAATTTAGGTTTTATGCTGAAATTCAAGAGTGAAGAAAACAACAGTTCAGCAGCACGTAGCTTATGAAGAAGTAAATCTAATGTTGAGAAGAAATTCCAGTGTTGTTCCTTTCTGTACTGCAGTTATCTTCTTGAATTCTGCATATGCCCTAAATTCAACATTTGCAATGTTGACTTCATACACTAACCTGGACTCTCTTCAGCTCCTCCACTGAAGTACACAGCAACTGAGGCACTGACAGTGCAAGTCAGCTACACAGCAATTCAAGAGGGAACTGATGGCTGAACATGTCTAAAGCTTGAGTTTGATGGCTTTTTGTGAATATCTAAAACTGTGGCACTTAGCAGTCCAGGATCTTAGAGCAGGGATGCTGGGATGACCTTCATTGGCCACCAGATGTCCATTCAGTTGCACTCTTACTCTCTCTTCTCAACTGAACTGGGAGAATAAATAAGATAAAAAACTTTGTAGGTTCAAATAGATAGAGAGACCAATTATTGTATGGGCAAACAGACTTGACTTGGGGAAGAATCAATTTATTTCCAGTTAATGTTGGTTTGAATGTTAAGGAAAAAAAAAAAAAAAAGATAAACACAAAAACACTTTTCCTCCATTTCTCCCCTTTGTTCCCAGGATCAGTTTCTCTCCTTCATTTCCAACTTCTCTACCCTGAGCAGCACAGCACGATGGTCAGTAGGTGCTCTGGTCAGGACATCACAGTTTGTCTCTGCTATTCTTTTCTTCTTACCATTTCTCCTGGCTCCTGCTGGGTTCCTTTCCATGGGCAGAAATACTTCAGGACAGGATTGTTTGGCTGTTGGGGTACACCATGGGCTGCAGAGAGACAGCCATCTTCAGCATGGATCTCTCCACAGGCTGTCTAGAAAGTTCTTTTCCAGTGCCCGTGCGCCTCCTCCCCTGATCTTCACAAGCCACGCTTTCACAGGGTTGTTTGCTTCACATTTTTATCTTTGTCCTCGCTGCCATGGAGACTGGCCATGTCTGACAAGGGGCTGCCCTGTCTTCTAATCAGAGGAGCCCTGTCAGCCTTCTATTCTGCAGTCCCAAGCCCAAAATGGACTTGGACATGGACGGGGGGGACATGGACAACTCTGTCCGGTAAACTAAGTTTCATATTCCTGTCTCTGTAACAGCTAGGTTTAAGCAGAGTGGACAGAGATAGCATGAAACAACAGGGAGAAGGCAAACAGCAGGGATCCAGATAATAAAGAGAAGTAGAAAATGTCATTGAGAAGAAATATGTTTAGCCAAAAATAATATACTGTAAGCGCTACCAGTTATGAAAACTGGCATTCAGTTGTTATAAAGAAGGGGATTCAATTAATTATTTCCACCAAATGTTTGTTTTGTTTTGTTTTTCTGGAGAAACTGGATTACATTCAAAACTCTTGAACTCCATGTATTTCCTTTGGAGGTAGGTGTGGTTAAGTATGGAATTATCTTGTACTCCAGTTCCTCAGGAGTTAAGTAATTCATCTAAATTGTGCTTTTGGGATATTCCTGTAGTTGGTGGAAAGTGTTATCTTGCTGTTGTGCAGGAGGCAAGCTTACACGTTTTACAGACCGATTTCAATTTGAGATCAACCCAAATATTGGCTTTTAAGTATGTAAATACTTGTATTTTTATCTGTTGCTATCTGTTTTGCAACAAAAAATTATTCACTGATCCTGATCCAGAGATTGAGTCATTCATGTGATGTCTTGTGTACCCAATAATCTGAAATTATTTGTCTTAGCAATGTGTCAGGGTGTAAAGCCTTCATGTCAGTAAACAAATGAGTTTGACTGAAGTTGACCTTTGACTTGACTGACATTATGATGAAATAGTCTATGTTGTGGCAAAATGGTCTGGCTTGGTATTTAGGAAAAAAAGGTGGAGTAGTATGTTAAAAAGAAACATTTAAGAATCCATTATTTCTCTGATAGGTGTTTGTGTATAAAAGACAAAATACATGGGTTTTCATCATATCATAAAGCAAGAACTTGGCAAACACTTCTCATGTCTTCCTCCTGTGTCCTTGGGACTGATGAAGCTAGTGAGAGGGTAGCATTATTGTTACATTAAAAAAGGAATCATCATCTTATGTATCATCTATTCATAACGAAGAACTGCATAATCTTAGACTTGTAAGTTCTTGATCATGAAATCATTTATATGTGTGTTGTGTTCATTATGGGATGAATTTTAGTGATTTCAGGAGATAATGAGTTAATGAATATAGCAACGATTTTTAGCTTGCTTAACTTTAAACAATGTTTATTGATTACTCATCAGATGATGTTCAGTAGTAGTTTGCAGTTAAAGTGACTTTATCTATATTTTGAAATCAGTGAACTGAGAAATCTTTTTGTTTTTGTTGTCTACATGGACTGAAAATTGTTGCAAAGGGCCTTTCTTTTGAAGTAGGTGTACACCACAGTGGGAATGAGTGCAGGAACAATTACAATCCAAAATGCAATCAAAACAGTGCACTGGGTGGAGATCATTTCTGTGCTAAGTTTTCCTCCATGTAAAATAAAAATACAGATCTTAATCACTTCCAAAGAACTGTATTTTGGATGAAATAAATACAAAGTATTATAGTAGTAATAAGTGATTGTTGATATATTACGGTACTTTGTATATTATCCTTAAATACAATAAATACTGCTTATCAACAGGGGACTGTTTCATGTTTTTTGACTAGACTCTTTTCTTGGCCTTACTCACTTTACTTCCTGTCTCTGCTGGGAAGAGTGGCCAACTTTTTTATTTTATCCCACTGAAGTGAAAGATATTCCATAGCATAAGTAGAGTCACATTTGCCCCAGTGTCTTGTTTCTATTCAGTGCTCTCATGCCATAAATAATTTAGTCTTGTGGGTTCCCATCCACTGTAATGTAAATGGTGGTTTCTTGCATTGCCATTTTTAATCCCACAAGGGCTTTTAAAATGCTATTTTAATTTATTCTTGAAAGATTTCCCTGCTTAAGTGCTCTTTTGAGCCTTTTTCTTTTTCTTTTTTTTTTCCATAGTGTACTAGCTGCTTCTAACTTGTGTGCCATTTGTTTCAATATGCAAATATGAAAATAAGTTTCTGTTCGCTTCTGAAATAGAAGAGGAAAATCATAATAGATTCTGGACCACTCCATAGTAAACAGCAGGTGTTAAATTTAAACATAAATTCCAACTTGAATTTGCAGAAAATCAAACTACAATAGCATTTAATATAAGAACTGTCATCCTATGTAAGATGTACTTAAAAAAGGTGAATTTCCATTTGACTGTGTGAAAGATGTGGAAACACAGTTTGAGTGACTTTTTTTTTTTTTTACAAGCTGTGCATATGCAAGAAGGTAAAGTCAGGTTCATTTTATTCACTTCATTTTTGTGATTTCAGTGGAATTGTCTTATAGCTGAAATAAAAAATAGGCTGAGGCTAAATAACCTGGCCTGAAGAACTATGGGGATACTTTTTTATAATCCTTGAACCAACTAGCACACCTACTTAAGTACAGATAGTTAGCACCTTTAAATTCAGGAAAAAAAAAAGTCACATAAAAGCGTCTACAAAGCAGTATCTTAATGAGAAAATACTATTACTGCACTCAAATATAGGCATTTAAATTCTCCACCTGTTTATCTTCCCATACAATCTTTATAGAAGAAAAACACATATATACAGTTAAGAATTTTTTTGTAGTGTGATTTTTTTTTTCCTTTATGTATTTATTTTTATTTTTTATTTATTGAATAGCTTAACAAAGTAAATGATTTTATACATCTTTCTAATAAGTCTTTTTAAAGGTTATTTTAATGCAGAAGATGTCCATCTCTAAGATCTGGTCTACATCCCACTCCCACATGTTTAAACTGAGGCCTCCGAAAAGAAAGACTTTTTTTTTTTTAAAAAAAAAAAAAAAAAAAAAAAAAAGCTTTCTGAAACTGCGATGGTCTGGAATGGATTAGTGAATAAACTATGTACCTTATAAGGCAGATTGTCTAAACCAGACTTCCTTCCTCCCCAGAGAGCTACAAGATCGCTTTCTACATGTTCTCCTTCATCACCTTTCAAACCGACGGCAGTTTTTATTGGAAGTCATTCTCTGACTTCTGTATTGGCCTTATACCTTGTTCAGCATCCTCACAGGGCTTTTTCTGAATTACCTGAGCACAGCACACTAGCATCGAGGCATATCACTGGCTTATATCCTGACAAAGCTAGCATATAATTTGTTGAAAATAGATTCCCAGCCTGATGAATCACAGTATGTTGTGCAATAAAAAAACATGGTTACTTTGGAGGAAAACAAAGAGTTTTGTTTATTATTTAAATGTCTTTAAGGTAATAGCTCCAAGGAGCCATTTTCAAATGGATAATATTGATACTTACCCATATACTAACATTTCGTTGTTCTTTGTAACTTCATTGTGCTCCCAATATGCTCAATATTTTCCCCCAGATTGAAAGCTACAATTTAAAAAATATGCATACA